AAGGAATTTCTCAACACTCAGATTCAAAGAAAAAGATTACAAAAGATTCAAAACATAAAACTGAAAACTAAAAAAAAACGAAAGTTCTCTATATGTGGCCCTAATGACTCAGACTCCTATTTAGCTAGAAACTAAAGAGCTCCAAGAAATTGCATTGCTGTCCATCCATATTTTTGTCCATCCAATGGTTCAGATTTGATCTCACTTTCAAAGAGTTGATCATATGGCTCTCTAACTGCAGTAAAAATAGTAAAAGAGAATAGTAAATTATCAAATTATCTCTTTCTCTCTCTTTTACCTTATTGGGTTGATTGGTACTCATTTGGCCCATTACCATGCACTTATATCCAGCCTTCAACTCAAATATTGTAAAAATAAAGCCATTAAAATAATCATAATTTATAGCTAACACTTGTTCAGAAAGAGATGAAGCAAGTGCAGCCATGTTATTTAAACCAACTCAACCGGTAGTGAGAAGGTCCTCTGAAAAATCCAATCTCCGTAGAAAGAGATGGGTTCCCAATTCACATTTAAAAATTTTCATGTCAACTTATTCCGGTAAAGATATAACCTCTTTAGGTAGTGTTTGGTTGGGGAGAAGTTAAAACTTTGCTGGCTAAGTGCATGTGGGAATCTGAGTAAACCACGTTTGGTTGAAGGTTTTTGGAAAATATGTTCATCAAACCCACTTGCCCTGCAATGCAAGAAGCAGTGTAAAAATTGGACTTTGCCACTGTTGAAGAAGCCATTTCAACAGGTGGTATTGGTTTGGGATATCGGATAAGTGAAAAAGGTGGTTTGTTATAGACGAATAAAAAAACTTTGCTGAACAACCTATGTTTCTGTTTATGTGAAGAAGATAAAGAAACAAATTTAAAGCTAACCATAACTGCAATCATAATTAGTTAAAAAACAAAACAAAAAATACAGCAAATTTTGCTGTCATACACGTGTGAAGCATTAGAAACGAAAGAAATGAGAGTCGTGTATCTGTACTAAAATCTTTTTTATCAAAAGAGAGTGAAGTGACAGCAATTTAAGTAATGAACTAAGGTAGAGATTTTCATGTTCCAAAGACATGTTTCTTTTTTAAGTCCATGTTTTTTTAAATTGAGAAACATGAAGCAGGGAGGAGAAGATTGAAAATATGAATATTGCTATATTAAGAAAGTAGAAAGATGATATTCACCCAAACATATATTGTCCCACTAATTAAAGAAAGAAAAATGAATTCAGTTAATTGTCTCCAATGATTGTCAAGTTCTCAAGATGCTAGAAATCAAGAAGAGATCAAGAAGAAACTCACTATTAGTTGCAATAGCTGCATAGAGTGCACTGTCTTCAAGTGCATTTTCATTTGGCAGAAAAGAAACTATGCTGCTAAGTCATTCGTCAGGCAAATTGTGAACAGATTTCAGAAGACATAGAGATTGATTTTGGTGTCAATCTCTGCTATGGACCTTATGGATATTTCTATATATAAACAGTCTCCACCTTCCAGTCTATATCTGTTGGTCTTTTCTTTCTGTTGTATTCAATTCTAAGGACCATTAATTTCTATGCTTTCAATGTTACTTGTTATTTATGACTTTGAGATACAATGTGTTTGAACAAATTCTCACAGTGACATCTACATTTTTGTTTGCTTCAATAATGTGCATTTGACAACCTGAGCTGATTCTTGTTTTTCATCAATAGTGAAACACCATTATGCAGATAAGAAAATCATGATTTCAATAAAACATTCTAGAAATTTGATTACTGTAACAAACAAATATAGCATTCTGATTCAACATTACTGTAACAATTATTGTTGTTCAACCCCTTCCCAAGGGTTCATTACCCAATAAGGTCTGGTTCTGATATGACTGAAGCTTGCTGTAAGAACCTGCATCGTTAATTAAGGAAATTAAGTAATTAATTATGTTAAATTAGGAAATGATTCCATAATTGAACCTAATAATTATTAAGATGCTTTAATAATTATGTTGAGTGATTCAGAGTGTTGAAAGTCGCTTTTCGGAAGAAAAGTGCAGAGACCGGTTCTGCTAGTCGGTATAAATGCGTACCGAAAAAGTATCCCGAAAAATTATAATAAGTGCATGATAATTACTAGAATAATATGTAGGACTTGTAACATGAGTTTCAAGTCAAAATAATGAGAACTGGTGCCAGAAACTGATACTGGCTATGAAAAGCGTGTACCGAAAATGTGCTCCGAAAATTATAAGAAAAATATGATAATTCTTGTAAAATGGAGTAGGTTAAGAATCCAAAGTTTGGGATTAAAATGCTAAGCGTAACAATTAAAGTTAATACTGCGTGTTTAAGTGTGAGTGGGCTATAAATACTCTTATTATGGGCACAAAACCCTAGACTCCTTCATTCCTACGTGAGAGAGGCCGGTTAGCTTGTGTGTGTGCACTGTTCCATTGCCTTGTGCTCCATTTGGTGAGCTTTGAAGCTTCCTCTTCCACTTCTCTCCATCTATACACTTGGTGTGAGTGAGAATCATCCTTGTGAGTGGGAAAATGGCTTCTTTTCTGTGTAAGGAGGTCAGTTTGAGGGAGTGTTGGGTGCTGACTTTGGGTTGGAGAGTGAGTGAACCTTGTGTTTCTCATTTGGAGGTCCAAGGAGCCACCTTTGGTGAGGAAGAGCCTTGTTTGCTTCTCATTTTCATGGTCTTTGTTGGTCTGAGTTTTGGAGCAGTTGAGAAAGCTCCAAGAGCATCATCTACCTCTGTTTTTAGCTTGTAGTATGATCACCACCTTTGAACTTGAGTTTTTTAGCTTAAAAATGGAACCTTGATGCATGTAATGGTTAAAAGATAATAACCTAACTTGAGGTAATGTCAAACACACCTAGAAATGCATGTTTAGGCTTCTGTAATCGGTAAAAATGGTACCTTTGAAGGATATCTTCCCGAAATGCAGAAACTGCATTCTGTCGCGAAATATCCGGATATTTGCCGTGAAATATCCGGATATTGATATCCGGATATGGATATCTGGATATTGCCAGAGAGATATTCGGATATGCCCAGAGGAATATCCGGATATTCTGGGATTTCGAAGAACAGTAGTTGTGTTGTGTGAACAGTAAGCTATTGAGGGTTTGTGGACCCTAGATTGATGAAGTTGAACTTCTGTTTTAATTGAACTAAGTCAGAATCTTGTGATTAAGGGCTTATGGCTTGTGTGAAGCCTTAAGACGTAAAACGTAATGAAAAGGCGTGGTCTTAATATTTTATGCTCGTGGTGCATGTTTATTGATTCATTATTGGTCCATATCAGATTGTGATTTGCTGTGTGTTGGACTTGAGCCGTGTGGACTCTTGCCATTGGATAGTGAGCTTGCAAAGTAAGCTTTCGTGTCCTCGGTTTAGCCATGTTGTGGTTCCACCATGTCCCATGGGGGTATGGTTATATGCATGCTGTGTTACATGCTTTTGATGTTTTGGAAATGCTATTGAGCTGTTATATGCTAGTGCCTTTATGATATACATGTGGTGTTCCACCTATACGGTAAGCCTGAGTGTGTGGTACATACAAGATGGTGAGACTGTGGGTGAGGTGCAAGCGGTGTTCCTTGTACTACATGTAGGTATAGACGTATTCCTGCATTTCTCTGGCTAGTAGAATAGTGATAAACACACATGGCATGAATATCTGTTACACTGCATAGTTTTGGAACTGATATTGATATAAATGCTTTTAGAACTAATATTGCACATGTAAGTGAGCTTGGGGTGGAAGATCCTTGAGGACCCCTTGTCTTACTGAGATTTCTAGTTTAGAGATCTCACCCCACGTTTGGGGAATGTTTATTTCAGGATCAGGTAATGTGGAGGTTGAGGCCCCAGGCAGCAGGAGGCCGGAGTTGAGTTAGATATTGATGATATCATATGCTGACTTGTTGGATGCAGGATATGCATGCTGCTTTTATGCTTTGAGCTTCATTTTATGTTTATGATTATCTTGTTGAGACGCTGTTGATTTTGGTGAGCATGGGGATTGTCCATGACACACAGACTAGTTATGTCTTAGTTTGATTTGGAGTTGTAATAATGTATCAGGATATTGTCCGGACTACGTGATGTAGATCTGTGATTTAGATACTCACTTTATTTATGTATTGAGGTATTTCAGTATATGTCTTATTGCAATTTACATTCAAACGATATTTTATGAAATTGATTAAGTAATCAAGTTGGTAATTGATAATGACGTCATAATTGAAAAGAAAAAGTATATTCCGCATTTTTAATTAAGCGTAGCTTAATACGATGTAATGATAACACTACCGAATATATACGGGGTGTTACACTTGCCACACCCAAGCCACGAGCAAGTTCACAAAGTTACTAACTTGTATACATACAAGTTTCAGCTTGGAGGTAGGACAATGTAATGGAGACCTCAATACACATGTCCAAGAAAAAGAACCGAGAATACATGTGAGAAAATGTTTAATTTTATAAAAAGGTTAATTTGGTCTTTTGCATTCTTTTTCCCATCACAATTTTATTTTCAACCAAACACACATCAGGATTTTTAACCCAATTTTCCTAGTAATATTTTGCGTTATCAAACAAATTTTTTTACACTTTCCTACCAAACTAACTTTCTAACGTCTTTCCTAGTAAAGACAACAACCCACTTTAAAAAAATTTCTCCCCGACCAAACACTACCTTAGAAGCAGAAGGTTCCCCGGCTCCTCTGGAATTGCTTCCACAAGGCTCTTATTTTCAGTTAAGGCAGGATATTCTAGATTTCACATCCATGTACTCTTGAGGTAGAGTTCCTGACATCATATTCTGCCGAGTTCGGAAAGGTCTCAATCTTTTGAGTTTCCCAATAAAACGTAGCAAAGATCCACTGTTATTATTGGTGTTAGAAATCGATAATCACACAAATCGAAAAAAAAAGGGAAGACAAATTTGACAGAGTGATTTATCTTGATTTACCTAATGTAAGTTAAATTTAACTTGTTTGTAATATATTCTCCTCATCGTCACTCGTTACAAGTCACTCAGTTTACAGGAGAATATAAATAGAATTTTAAAAACCCTAACAGCTATTCATGGGTTCAAGCTCAAACTATTAAGTAACAGAAATTACAACTCAGAGGCCCACAACAATACCAGACCTCTATGGGCCCATGAATAAAATTACAATGAGTAAAATCTCAATTAGCTTCCTGCTGACCCTGCCAATGAAGACCCTCATCAGTATGCGAAATATAAATCATACCCAACATTTGGCGTATGCAACATGTACTGAGAAAGGTTTCCAATTGCCACTAATTTCCCCTGGAAAAGACCTAGACAGTCGGTGTTGTAAAGATACAATTCTGTTAAATCTTAACGCCTGCCTATTTCAATAGGAATTTGGCCTTCAAACAGATTATTGTTGAGACCATGAACCTGCAAACTTGAACAGTTTCCATTTTCCTTGGATATAATCGCAGAAAATCAAATTCGAGACAGATTAAGCGGATACAAGTGAACCAAATCACCAATTCTAGGAGCCAAAAAAACTTGAAGAGACTCATTGAATGCCAATCAAGAGACTCCACCACTGGATTGGAGCCAGTGCTGCAGTTGACACCCTTCCAGCATAAGGTGTGCAATCACTCGAGTTCCAGTTGTCTTGATGGTTGTATTTGTCAAACAAACACCCTTTTATGTCCAGAAGGTAATTTACCCTCTGCATTGAGCCATTTAGGTAGACAGACGAACAGAGCAGTTAAAAGTGTCAATTTTAGTGTCACGAACAATGCAATGAATTCCTCTCTATCTATGTCATCATATGATGGCACAACATATGTTAGACACCAATGACCATTTGCACATGCAAATTAAGCACAAGGTTCTATTTGAGGTTCTTAGTGCTTACTCCTTTTCCTCCAAGAATAAAAGAGGACTAAAGCACTGGGTGATTCACATAAGGCCACCAATTTTTGTGGGAACATTCACAAATAGAATGAAACTCGCCGTGATAAAGGGAAGGTATATAGAGTAGAATCCTCTGGCTTATATTGGCAACTTGCAAAAATGATAATGGTAAAGAACGGGTAGCTATTGATAATTGCTGGCCAAGTGAATAATTAAAGATCCCACTTTCCCTGAATAAAAGTTCATAAGTCAGACCAAGAGAGCGTCTTGATTTGATAGCCCACGAAGAAATAATGGATTTGGAAATCTTTCCTTACACTCCTTGATACTATAGTGCTTTTCAGTCCAGTAGTATTCAAAATTTCAGAATATAAAAAGTAGTCTCTCTAATCAAAAATAAGAAGAAAGAAATACTGAATGAAAAAAAAAAAAAAACAACAACAACAAACAAACAAAACGATATATTTGCAATCTTTGAACCCACCCTTACTCCATGATGCTTGCGAACTGGAAATTTAACTAGCTCCACATCGCGGCGATTGAATTGTTTGGTGTTGTCATCACTTAAGATTCTTCAACTTGAATTCTACTAAGGTTGGTTAGTGGATGCATGTTATCCGGTCAAAATATTTGACAATCAAAATATTCTTTCTTTCTTTGGCAAACTGCCCTTCAAATTTTAACTACATTCGAAAATCAAGAGAAACGCAATTTTAACTATGGTTGAATTGATTTGTCATAACTTATTCTTTGATGCAACCCAGAAAATTCTATTTAGATATGAAAATGGAAGCTCAGCTCCTTATCAAACACTAATGACTAGAAGATGAGAGACATAATTCAGAAAAACAACTACAACACAATATCACTAAAGAACACTCCGCAGGAGCCTCTAAGGCCTCGTGACCCCAGACCTCAGTTCCGGAATTTTTCCCTTACACCAATTAAGTGAAAATCATGCATACCCCTTCCTTACTCGTTCCTCCCTCTTATCATAACCAACTACCATTTTCCCCTCCGAAACAGAATTACCAACTCCTCCTTCTGCAAAATCCCTTTCTCCATTCAAGGCTTGCCACGTGTATTCTCTCATAACTAACTATCTCTTTCTCACCCCTACTATTCATGCTATTATTCTTGCCCTCTGTTTCGGAAGTCACTTTTGTTCGGCTTTAGCCTTTGTTTTGCTCCTATATAAGTACTTGAAGGGCCCATCATTCTTCAACTTAAATATTACTACGGTTGGGTAATGGGTAAATGTTCACTGGGTCAAAATAATTGAAAACAAATTTTCTTCATGTTTTGTCATACTGCTCTTCAAATTTCTCCTCCTCGTTATATTGTCCACAATATAAGATATGGGAACCTATATAATTGCTCTCCCAATAGTTAAATGATTCAACATACGAAGTAGAACAACATCCAGCCTGTTTCATTTTACCTAGCACATAATCACATAACACAATTGACTCAAGAAAATAAAATAAAATAAAAAAACTTAGTTTTGGTAAGTAAACCAATAATAGAGTGAATTAGATAGAAAAATCTGGCCATGAAATATTTTTTAATGCGGATGCCGTAATTGGCATTTCATTGCTTTTCTCTCAGAGGAAAAATAAAGAACACTAATAATGATCACAACAATAATAAAATCACCCCAAGTGCTTAGATGCAGTTAAGGATACAACGGAGGATACACAGATAAAATCGATGAAGCTTGATAAGTTATTCCTGCAAAGTTGTGCAAATAAACCACGTTAAGAGTAGAACTTCACATTAAATTTATATACAACATTTAGGATCTGTTTGGATGAGTTTTTTTATCTTCCAAAGCAGCTTTTTTCGGGAAAAAAAAAAATATTCTCAGAAAAGGTCTATTTAGATGTCTACTTTTGAAAAAAGCAGGAGTTGTAAGAAAAGTCAAAAACCTACTCTCTTTTTTTTTAAGCTAAAAATTTTAGCTTCTAAAAAAATAGAAGTCAAAAGCCAAATATTTTTTCAAAAACCAAATATTTTTTTAAAATCTAAATAGCGCTTTTATAAAAAGAACTTCTTAATAAGCAAGGCATAAAAAGCACTTCTTTTGGAAGCCCATCCAAACATGATCTTAAATAGGAAATGTAATTAGCATTACTTACCCACTGCAGATGTAGTGTCTTCGCAGTTCTGGCCAAGACATTGCTAATTAGCATCGATATCAAGAGATTCTGAAGGATCATATCGATCTGAAAATGCATTATTCCGGGAAGAGTATGAAGTAGAATTCTTGTGTGAGTCCTTTTGCCACCTATCCATAGTTCTTGATGAGTTACCGTACTTCTTTTTATTTGTATAATCTTGTTTCTTATGATGAATGCTATGCTCACGTGATCGGCTGCGACTTGCACGTCCTTCAGAGCTTGTGAAAGAAACATCTCTATGATAATCATTCTGTTGACTTTCTCCATAATAATGGCTCCTGTCATGTCCTTGTTTGTGTTCACCATAATATCTAGTAAATGCATCATCTACAGTTTTGTTTTTGCCACAGTAGTTAGTAGATGACTGTTGTTCCCAGTGACTTGAGTTACTGATTGTCACTGCAGGTGAGTCATGACTAAATTTTCTTGAATCATTAGCTTCTATAGGAATGTCATGGCCGGATGGAGGTTTAGATGCAAACATCACACTCTCTTCAGGAACTTTTACAGGGCTCTCAAGACCTCCAGCCTGCTTGATTTCCTCCATGAATTCCTCTATCACGTCTCTCATCCTCTTCGAGAAGGAGTTTAGCAGTAAGTATAAAAATTAGTTAATAGTTAAAAAGTTAAACAAAAAAATAAGAATTTCTCTTCAAAGAATTTATGCTAAAATAGTGCTAAAAGACATAAGAGCCAAAAGGAGTCTCCACAGCTAGAAAAACTATATGATGATTAAAAGATACTAATGCTTGTTCAGCTTCATTAGAGACAAGGAACAACTCTAAAACAAAACCATAATTAAGTACTTAAAGTTACACCAATTCAACAATAGTAGAAAAATTCAATAACTACTTCAGTATTCCTAACCTGCGTAAATGATTGATTTCGTTTCTTGCCACGGTAAGACATTCTTCGACGTTTGTAATCCCTTTCTTCAGCTAGCAACTCCTCTCGTGTCTTTTCTCTAGATGTTTCCTACAATTGATAGCAGAGCAGAAAGTATGCTAGTTTTAGGTAAAACAAAAGTAGATATTATATTCACTTCCATGATAGGGATGCCTTAGAAAACAGGAACTTGGATACATATTTCACCTACGCTATTCGCATGCAGAAATTGTCAGTAAAGAGAACAGATTCGGCATGGATTTTAGCAGTCCTTTCATGTAATATTGATTTTATACTTCAACATAACATATAAGTAAACTAATTCCCTACTTGGTCATCAGTCTGGCATTTCAGTGCTATAAACAAGAAAAAACGAGTAAAAACCCATCTAGTTAGACAGATAAATAATTTAAGGAAATCCAACATGAGAAATTATGCTTCTGAAAATTATATCAGATTAAAATACCTGGTTAGATGATTGCTGCCGATGAAGCCCATCATGATCAATTAGAGGTTTATAATCAAGACGCTTTGCCCGCTCTTCATTAGCTTTCTCATACAAATAAGAATGCTCAGTAACCCTAGAAAAAAAAAACAGCTTTATATATTCAGAAGAAGCTCATCATATCCACAACAAATGAAAGACAAAACAAAAGACATTGCTCATATTCAATCATAGATGAAAAAACGGCACTATAGCACACTATACCACATCAATAGCGGTAGCGGCACTCAGCCTTAACAAACCGCAAGCAACGCTAAAATTTACAATGGCGGCCGTAGTGGCCGCAATTTGAAGTAGCGTTTTGCAACTATAGTGGCGCAATTTCCACGCTACAAGGAAGGGAAAGAGATTTTTTTATGTTAAGGGTATTATTGACTAAGAATTTAATTTTTATGGTACACTGGAATTTTATCCTTTTTTATTTAAAAACCCTATCTCCCCTAGGATCTATTACTTCAAATCTCGATCTGCAACGGTGGCTCTGTTTCATCTCTCTTTTTCATTCATTTTCCGAATTTGATCCCACTTTCTCACCTATTTTCTGGCAAGCCTACAGCAGCATAATCTCTCTGACTATGGCACAATCTTGATATCTCGCTGATTCTGTTTCGATCTATGGTAGATTCCTTCAGTATCTATTACTACGTTTCCATGAAGAAGGAATGGTTCCATCTGTCTCTTTCATTCATTTTGTTGCAAGTCAAGCCTAAAAACCATCTGCATCTGTTTCCTTCTCCAATAGTCCAATGTGTATTATTTATATATTAATATAAATATATGACTAATATGTTTTGATTTCTATCTCTGCTAATTTTTTTAAATAAGTGAAATTAACAATTAATGTATTATTATTTTATATGACTAATCATATATTCTATATTTTACATCACACAATTGAACTTCACTGGAGCGTCTATAACGCTACCCGCGCGACTATAACGATACCCGTTTTACCGCTATAGTATTTTTAGGGTTGGCCGCTATCAGCTGCTACCCACAATTGATAACCAATAATTCAATAGGCTCGAAACCTATAAAATATGAGCAATGTCTTTAGTTTCACTTTCACAAAAGTAAACACAACATACCGCTGATAATTACTTGGCTGCCGAGAAAACCATAATCCCTTAATCCTATGTTCAAGCAAAGATCGCTCGTGCAATGCTGCAACAGCTGCTACAACTTGGGGCATTAAAATCCTTCTATTCTGTATGCAGTTTCTCTTTTCTTCATGTTTAGCACCATGTTTTGCATCCTTGATTTCCACACTGACAACAGTATCTGAATTCTGGGACTCTTGAGGAGCTTCAGCAACCTCGTCCCCCAAAGGAAACAATAACATAACCGATGCACCAACAAGAATACATTTCTTCACGAAATTGAGAACAAAAAACTTTCCACTTATTGCACCATAGAGAACTGAAACCTGAGATGCTAACCACGCTAATGCCTGATTCAAAACAGGGCACTCTAACTGAAAATTTTCCTTCTCCACTGAAACAGAAGCTTCTCTTATAATTGACTTGAAGCACAAACAACACAGCAAAAAAATATGCTGTTGCATAGCCAAATCAACAACGATGCCGTATCGAGGCGAATTCGCTACAATCCAATTCGCCAAGTCACATTCCTCGGAAATTCCAAGACATAAAATCGCGCGAAGAACAGAATTGGAATATGAAGAAGGATAATCATTCCATGATTCCAGTTCCCGAGTGATAGCGCAGTACTCAGAAGGAAGAATCGGCGAGGTTCGTGAATTCAAATCGCTGATATGTGTGTTTTCACATTCAAGAGATAAAAAAGAGGGAATGGTAAAGGTTCTGTTGATGGAATCTGAATCGGAGAAAGTAAAGACGCCAGGGCAATCCCTGTAGGAAAAGTTGGAAGTGAAGTCCAAATAGGAAGAGAGGTTTTCAGAGTGAGAGTTGTTTAGGGTTTTGGGGTATGTGAGAGAGTGGAAGAGGTTGTTGAGATCGGGAATTGGACGAGGAGAGGAAGGACAACGAAGGTGGTGAAGGAAAAGGGATTGAGGGGGTAATAAGTGGTGTTTATTGAAAGGGCATTGTATCAGATTTGAATTTAGGGTTTGTGGAGAGGGTAAGATTGGGAGAATCTGCTTTGAGAGAGTAACTAGGTTGTTGAGAGATGAGAGCATCGTCGAGAGGTTAGGGTTTTGAGATGGTGCAAATTGATTCATCGTTGTTGGTTCGGTAAGTCTTCCTTCACGCAGGTATGTGTTACAACAGCAGAAAAATGAAACTGTGTCAAATGAGGGAAAAGCTATTAATTATTGAAAGAGATTCTTATAAGAGTTGAAATTAAAGCATCATCGTCAACGGTTGTGCAGCTAAAGGTTCAACCGGAGAGGGCGCTGCGTGTGGTTGAGTATGCCGGGGAAATGATTGGCAATGGCTTAGAAGGGTTCAAATGCAGGATAGGCCAGTTAAGAGTGTTTGTGGCAGAATTATGGGGCGTTCTAGAAGGTAATGCTGCTTGAGAGTCTAATTTATTGACTGGCATTTGAACTTGGGTCGCAAATGTACTTGGGTCGCAAAGGATTGAACTGTCAAATTTCAACCCACGTACTGAGAAGGCAACTACCGCGCATACAAGAGACACTTCAGGATTTCAATATGTTTTCTCATGTTTCCCTGTTCTCTTTGTTGTTTTTCATAGGTAGTAGAGTAGAACTCGTTTGGTTCCTCTTTGTTAGTTACTTCCCCTTTTGACTACAGCCCTATAGCTTATACCCAAAAAAAAAAAAAAAAAAAACCATTCTCGTAAAAAAGAAATGGGATTTGCATTTGTCATTTAATATGACATAACAAATTTTTCTGCACACACAATATTTTGTGAGGCCCACACCTTTTTAATAAAAAAAAATTACGGCACGCAAAACGAATCTCTATAACATTACACAATCACTTTGGGTGCAGCTTATACGGTTATCTCGAATACTTATGGCGTGTTTGCTCCATCTGATAAGGAGGATAAGATATTCAGCGGCAGGTTCATGTGCTTAAATTCATTTTTCTCTATACCAGTCATGGTCATTGTCGTGTTGCCCCGTGTTTTCACCCTAGCTTTTAGCCAGATAATGCTACATGTTGTCCAATCATCAAATTAGAAGAGCCATGACAGATTGGAATAAGTCGAGGAAAAATTGATTTACTTCTTAAAAATGAGGGGCATGGATCACATACCAAGATTGGAGGGGCTTGGAAATCAGACTTAAGGAGAAACTTATTCGCCTGGAAGTCATCTGATATACCATGTAATAGCCCAAACATTTGCTACCATAATCTTTCTGTGTATCCAGGTGATTAGCCAGTTTCTCAAAAGAAACGAAAGATAGGCTCAAAACATAGGTAGGTAGTGGAAGAACACATCAAGGAACTCCTAGAGGACGAATTCATAAGGCAAATCCATCGATGAAGAAGCAATTCAGTACATCACCAAGAGTGAGAATCCCCTAACAGACATACTATCTAAGATGCTAAGCACTAAGAAATCAAGCAACCATTGAATCATGGTCCAACAAAACATTCCAAATCTAAGTTATGTCCTGGTCGTTACATAAATCAAAGATTGGAGAAAGCCAATCTTAGCATATTTGGAGAAGAGGGAATTACCAAGTGAGTTCCTCAAAGCTAAAAAGCTTATAAGGAGCTCATCAATGTATTCTATGGTTGAAGGGCAGTTATATTGAAAGGAGTACTACGCCCATGTTGAAATGTTTGAACATTGAGGAGTTGGAGATCCATGAAAGCATTAATGGCCATCGTCTAAGAGGAAAATCTTTTGCTAAGAAGGCTTGTTTGGTGCAAATGATAAAAAGCATAGGATATGATAGTCTATCATACCCTACCTTTATCTATTATTTGGTGAGTCAACATCATAAGATAAACTTGATTTGTTGGCTTAATTTATCGGGTTAATAAGCTAATAACTAATCAGAGGTTAGAATTTGATAGAATAGGATAACAAAGTTAATCATTATATTTTTACAAACATAACCTTGTGCCACTTTCCCTGCCTCAATCTTACCCTCCTCCATGTCGCCTTCTCTGCCTCATGTTTCCACCTCTTCCAGGGTTTCCCCTCCCAAACCCTTTTCCACTGTTACGCCACCATCCCTGCTAGGCCTAGTGTTTAAGCGGTACTCAAAGGTGTAAGAATTGTCACTTAAGAGGGTTGTGAATAGAGAAATTGGTTGTTGCTTTGCGTTGAGAATGAGAATCTAAAACAAAAAATGGGAGAGACAAGCACCACCATCGACGATGATTTGCTTCTCAAAAATTTCTTTGCCGAAGTCAAGAGAGAGACAATGAAGTTCTCAGGTCCCTCTCTCTGATTATGTATATGTGATTATGATTTTTTCTAGTCACTCTTTCCCTTTGTTGTTTTGGTGCATGAGCTCTTTGTTACCTCTGTTAGGTTTTGGCAGTTATTCCTGTATAATTAATTCTTGCGCCTAAGGGAGGATTTTTGTTGATTATGATTACTACGTGTAGCTTCCTGAGCTGTGCTCCTAATTGTAATCAAAATTTTGCATTGTTTGAGTTATTGGTGTCTGGATAGTGTAGTGTTGTCTATGCATAGGCTAGAAAGTGTGGAGGCACATGACTCAAAATGTAGTTTATTTTTCATTGTTGAATTTTTTAGTTTTATTTTCATAGTTAGATTCAAATATGTGATATTAAATTAGATTTTCATAAAATAGGGTGAGTCTTTAGTCAATGAAAAACCACATAGCATTTGGTTATGTTGTACAAGTGTGTTAATGTTGATATACCTCTGACAGTAAACAGAAAGAATTGTTTAAGATGAAGATGTTGACAGAAGCATGAAAGAAAGTGGATTATGACATGTGAAGGAAAACAGGGGAAATCTGTTGGAATCTATGCTAATAATCCATTGGTTATAAATAAGAAGTGGGTTAATAAAGAAAAGAGGAAAGGGAAGATAAAGAGGTGTGTGGGTTTCAACAAGTCCCACATTGGACAATTAGTAGGAAGTATGAGAGTTTATAAGCTCTCACCTCACTCTCCTAGATTGGCCCTTGGGTCACTACACATTTTGTGGAGGGGGAGGAGCTAGGTGGGCTTTGGTTCCACCACACACGCGCGCGCCACCGGGTTCGCCGCCGCCGGCGGTTCATCGTGACTGGTTGGTGTCTATAAATAGACACTGACACCTTCAGAAAATGGATCCAAAAATTTTTCTGCACTGATACTCTGCCGGAATTTTTCCTTCTTCCGGTTTGCATTCTCCTTTTCGATTTCGGTGTAGTTTCCTCTGGCATATTGTTGTGTTCATTTGGGCTGTTGACTGGTAGTGCCGCCACTCTTTCGATGAAATTTGTTCTATCTTGGGAGACAAGTGTCCATCACCCTTTGGCATCAGTGAGGGGGAAAATTGTCTTAAGGAGACACGTTCTGTGGGCTCGGATTTATTCCTCTGATTCTGCATATTTTATTCTTCTGATATCGTCATCTGTCTTTTTCATCATTCTGTCTCAATTATCTGACAAGTAAGTTTGTTCTTTAATTTTTTATAATTGCACAGTGATAATTCTGATCATCTACCTCTTCTGCTTTATACATGGGTTCAAATCTCTTAGTAATATAATATCACCCACTGTCTTCAATAACAATCTTAAGGCAATTTTGGTGTTTTGAACCTGTGATTATTATATTCTGTTTTTATTTTATATATTGTTTTCGTTTTATTTACTGTGTGATTAATTAATCTGTGTGATTAATTTCGGATTCTGTTTGTGTAACAGAAATGGCTAGTGTAAGTACAAACGCTGCCAATCTTACTGCCTCTGTTCCAATGCATGCTGACAAGCCTGAAAAGCTTAATGGAACAAATTTCAAACGTTGGCATCAGAAGATGTTGTTCTATTTGACAACTCTAAGTCTGGACCGTTTCCTCAAGGAAGATGCTCCTAAACTGAATGTGGGAGAAGAATCTGACAAGGAAAAGGTTGCTGCCATTGATGCTTGGAAGCATTCTGACTTCCTTTGCCGAAACTATATTCTCAATGCTCTGGACAACACATTGTATAATGTGTACTGTACCCTGAAGACTAGTAAGGAACTTTGGGATAGTCTGGACAAGAAGTATAAAACTGAGCATGCTGCCTTGAAGAAATTCATAGTTGGCAGATTCTTGTACTTTAAGATGCAAGACTCCAAATCTGTTGTGAGTCAAGTTGAGGAACTTCAAGTGATTGTGCATGAAATTCATGCAGAAGGAATGTCTTTTAGTGAGTCTTTCCAAGTTGCTGCTTTCATAGAAAAATTACCAAATTCTTAGAGAGACTTCAAGAATTATCTGAAGCATAAGCGCAAGGAATTGTCATTTGAAAATCTGGTTATGAGATTGAGAATAGAAGAAGACAATAAGATGTCTGACAAAAGGAATGGCAACAATCCTATGATCTCTAAGGCTAATGTAGTTGAAGAGGGATCAAAGTCAAAGAAGAGGAAATATTCTAAAGATGGAAATGCTAAGCAAGGAAAGGGCAATAAGTTCAAAGGAAACTGTTACAATTGTGGGAATCCTAGCCACCGTGCAAAGGATTGTAAGAAGTAACAAAAGAAAGATCAGAGGAAACCACAAAAGTTCAATAAGAAAAAGAAGAGCACTCAAGCCAATATGGTTGATATTGCTGATCAATTTGAAGAACTGAATCTGGCAGCAGTGGTGATGGAGTTCAATCTGATGGGAGACTCTAAGGAATGGTGGGTGGACACTGGTTCCACCAGACATGTATGTTCAAACAAGTGGATGTTCTCCTCCTATACTCCCACTGATAATGATGAAAAAATTTATATGGGTAATTCATCTTCTTTAAAAGTTGAAGGTGTGGGTAAAGTGGCTTTGAAGATGACATCTGGCAAGATAGTGACACTGAATGATGTGCTCCATGTGTTTGATATTCGCAAGAACTTAGTTTCTGGATCTCTGTTAAGCAAGAATGGCTTTATACTTGTATTTGTTTCTGATAAGTTTGTACTTACTAAGAATAATGTGTATGTAGGAAAGGGCTACCTTAGTGAGGGCCTTTTCAAACTGAATGTGATGACTGTAAACAATTCTAATAATATTAATAATACCACTACTTCTGTTTACTTGCTTGAGTCTTCTAATTTGTGGCATAATAGGTTAGGACATGTTAATTTACGGTCAATTAAGAATTTAATTCATTTAGATTTATTATGTAAATTTGAATGTTTAAATAATAAGTGTCAAGTATGTGTTGAATCAAAAATTTTGAAATTACCTTTTAAATCAGTTGAAAGATCAACCGAGTTGTTAGATTTAATACATACTGATATATGTGACATGAAATCTACACCATCTAGGGGTAATAAAAAATACTTTATTACATTTATTGATGACTACAGTAGATATTGTTATTTGTACTTACTTAATAGTAAAAATGAAGCTATTGTTGCTTTTAAGCAATATAAAAGTGAAGTTGAGAATCAACTCAACAAGAAAATTAAAATGGTAAGGAGCGATCGTGGGGGAGAATATGATGGCCCCTTTGAGGAATTCTGTATAGAGTCTGGTATTATACACCTGACAACAACTT